CCGAGAAGGCCCTCTGCCTGATTCCCTGTAGCTTCACTTCTCGCAGTAAGGGGACTGCCAGAAAGCCCTCAGCGCTGGATCTCAGTGTCCGGGCTGAACGATGGGGTGGAGATGCTCCTTCAGGTATACTGGGCCGAGGCAGCCCTGTATAGGGAAGTTTTTAATGTTTGATGTGTTACTGTGTTTTAATTTGTGGGAAGCTGCCCAGAGTGTCAGATGGGCAGCGCACACACACATACACACACACACACACACACACACAGAGTATATATATAGGATACCTTCTGCTACTAAATGCCCAACTTCTGACTGAGGCCAATTGGGCCTCTGTAAAACAGCTAACAGGGCACCTCCATTTGATCCCTGCTATTGAACTAGGCTATCAGTGCTCAGGTGGTCCTTAAGGTATCCTGGACCCAATTTGCTCAGGGCTTTGTGTATCAGTGGAAGAGCCTAGAACCAAGGCAGGTAGCATACAGTCAGCAACTGTAGATGTTTTAGCAGGGGTGCCACATGCTGCTGCCCTTCTGCCCCCATCAGCTGTCCACCTGCTACATTCTGCACCAGCTGGAGCTTCAAGACTGTGCCCAAGGGCAGCTCCACAGAGGAGGAAGAGGAAGACAGTATAGATTTACAGCAGTGGTTTGCGGGAGGTCACAGCTGAGAGGCAGATGAGGGGGAAAGTTGGGAAATAATGGAAGAGGAGGAGCAGGCAGAGCTGGAGCAGCAGCCAGCTGACATGTTGTCGTTAGAAAGCATTCCAGACCCTCCATCTCTCAGAACCCGGCGAGCCTTAAAAGTAGGAGAGCAAAGAGCTCAAAGAGGGCATGTAGCAGCACCTGTAGAAGTGACGAATGAGGAAGTGGGAGAGACAGGAGGTGGAGATTCACTCGGGACAACGCCATTAAACAAGAGGCTGGGTTCTCTAGCTTCTCTGTGTAAAGACTGAAACAAAAAAGGACGGTAAGAAACTTTTCTTTGTCTGGGCAACCAGCAGGGAGCCGCTGACAGCATACTGACATAATCCAGTCTTGAGATGGCCAATGCATGGACTACAGTGGCCAAGTAATCCCAATCCAGATACGGCTGTAGGTGACATAGTAGACAGATCTGGTAGAATTGCTGAATATTCCAGCTATTTTGCTGAATACTCACCTGCCCATAGAATATTCTGCACCGGTATCCATGGGAACATACAAGCTGCCTTATAGAATCATAGAATCATAGAGTTGGAAGAGACCACCAGGGCCATCGAGTCCAACCCCCTGCCAAGCAGGAAACACCATCAGAGCACTCCTGACATATGGTTGTCAAGCCTCTGCTTAAAGACCTCCAAAGAAGGAGACTCCACCACACTCCTTGGCAGCAAATTCCACTGTCGAACAGCTCTTACTGTCAGGAAGTTCTTCCTAATGTTTAGGTGGAATCTTCTTTCTTGTAGTTTGGATCCATTGCTCCGTGTCCGCTTCTCTGGAGCAGCAGAAAACAACCTTTCTCCCTCCTCTATGTGACATCCTTTTATATATTTGAACATGGCTATCATATCACCCCTTAACCTCCTCTTCTCCAGGCTAAACATGCCCAGCTCTCTTAGCCGTTCCTCATAAGGCATCGTTTCCAGGCCTTTGACCATTTTGGTTGCCCTCCTCTGGACACGTTCCAGTTTGTCAATGTCCTTCTTGAACTGTGGTGCCCAGAACTGGACACAGTACTCCAGGTGAGGTCTGACCAGAGTAGAATACAGTGGCACTATTACTTCCCTTGATCTAGATGCTATACTCCTATTGATGCAGCCCAGAATTGCATTGGCTTTTTAGCTGCCGCGTCACACTGTTGGCTCATGTCAAGTTTGTGGTCAACCAAGACTCCTAGATCCTTTTCACATGTACTGCTCTCAAGCCAGGTGTCCCCCATCTTGTATTTGTGCCTCTCATTTTTTTGCCCAAGTGCAATACTTTACATTTCTCCCTGTTAAAATTCATCTTGTTTGTTTTGGCCCAGTTCTCTAATCTGTCAAGGTCGTTTTGAAGTGTGATCCTGTCCTCTGGGGTGTTAGCCACCCCTCCCAATTTGGTGTCATCTGCAAATTTGATCAGGATGCCCTTGAGTCCATCATCCAAGTCGTTGATAAAGATGTTGAATAAGACTGGGCCCAAGACAGAACCCTGTGGCACCCACTAGTCACTCTTCTCCAGGATGAAGAGGAACCATTGATGAGCACCCTTTGGGTTCGGTCAGTCAGCCAGTTACAAATCCACTGAGTGGTAGCATAGTCAAGACCACATTTTACCAGCTTCTTTACAAGAATATCATGAGGCACCTTGTCAAATGCCTTGCTGAAATCAAGGTAGGCTACATCCACTGCGTTCCCTTCATCTACCAGGCTTGTAATTCTGTCAAAAAACGAGATCAGGTTAGTCTGACATGACTTATTTTTCAGAAATCCATGCTGACTATTGGTGATCACAGCATTCCTTTCTAGGTGCTCACAGACTGTATGCTTAATGATCTGCTCCAGAATCTTCCCTGGTATTGATGTCAGACTGACTGGGCGGTAATTATTTGGGTCCTCTCTTTTCCCCTTTTTGAAAATAGGGACAACATTTGCCCTCCTCCAGTCTGCCGGGACTTCGCCTGTTCTCCAGGAATTCTCAAAGATGACTGCCAGTGGTTCTGAGATCACATCTGCCAGTTCTTTTAATACTCTTGGATGCAGTTCATCTGGCCCTGGAGACTTGAATACATCTAAACTAGCCAAGTGTTCTTGTACTATCTCCTTAGTTATTCTGGGCTGTGTTTCCTTTGCTGAATCATTTGCTCCAAATTCTTTAGGTTGGGCATTGTTTTCTTTATCGGAGAAGACTGAGGCAAAGAAGGCATTGAGGAGTTCAGCTCTTTCTGTGTCCCCTGTTTGCATTTCACCATCTTCTCCTCTGAGTGACCCCACTGTTTCTTTGTTCTTCCTTTTGCTACGGACATACCCATAAAAGCCTTTTTGTTGCTTTTAACCTCTCTAGCAAGCCTGAGTTCATTCTGTGCTTTAGCTTTTCTGACTTCGTGTCTACACGTGCTGGCTATTTGTTTGAATTCCTCTTTGGTGGTTTCCCCCCTTTTCCATTTTTTGTACGCATCCTTTTTTAATCTTAACTCAGTTAAAAGTTCTTTAGATAGCCACCCTGGCTTCTTTAGGCACCTTCCATGTTTCTGTCTCATTGGTATTGCCTGACTTTGTGCTTTTAGTATCTCCCTCTTAACAAACTCCCAGCCATCATGAACTCCCTTTCCTTTTAGTATTACTGTCCATGGGATCTCACCCAGCACTTCCCTAAGTTTTATGAAGTCAGCTTTCTTAAAGTCAAGAAATTGAGTCCTAGTATGCTTGGCTGCTCCTTTCCGCTGTATAGTAAACTTCAGAAGAGCATGATCACTCACGCCTAATGGTCCTTCCACTTCTACCCCACTAACCAGGTCATCAACATTGGTTAGGACCAGATCTAAAATGGCTGTTCCTCTTGTTGCTTCTCCCACTTTCTGGACAATGAAGTTGTCTGCAAGGCCAGTGAGGAATCTGTTTGACCTTATGCTCTTGGCTGAGTTTGACATCCAACAAATATCCGGGTAATTGAAGTCCCCCATTACTACTATCTCCCTTTTGCATGCTTGGCCATCTGTTCCAGGAAGGCATCATCTATGTCCTCCGTTTGGCTTGGGGATCTATAGTAAACTCCCACAATGAGGTCACTGTTATTCTTCTCTCCCTTAATTTTGACCCAAATGCTCTCACTTTGGCTTTGAGGTTCTAAATCTTGGATCTCTTCACAGGTATACACATCCCTGACATATAACGCCACTCCTCCTCCTTTCTTGTCTGGTCTGTTTCTCTGAAATAGATTGTATCCCCCCATTATTACATTCCAGTCGTGGGACTTATCCCACCAGGTTTCAGTGATGCCTATTATGTCATATTTAGTTTGCTGTACCAAGAGCTCAACTTGGTCATAGATGCCAACTCCTAGGGGCCGAGGTCATAGATGCCAACTCCTAGGGGCCGAGGCGTCTTCGGGACCCCCAATAAAATATTTGAGGGGGCCAGGGCCCCCAAAGTTGATGTGCATTGCCATTTGAATGGTGTGTGCGCGCGCTGTTTTATGTGATTGATTATGTGGGATAGGGCTTACCTGCCGCCCCAAATATTTTATTCAAGTTGGCACCCCTGTACCAGGTCACCTGATCTGATATTGTCTGTGCTGAGTGCCAGCAGCTCTGCAGGGTCTTTGGCAGAATTTTCCCCTTCATCTGATACTTGATCCCTTAAGGGAAATGTTGGAGCTTGAAACTGGGGCCTCCTAGATACAAATAATGTGCTCTGCCTCTGAGTTATGCTCCCCTCCCCCCGCTAGACAAGGCCTTCACAGAGAACAGTTCTGAGAACTTGGGGAGGACAAGCTAGCGTGTTTCTCTATGCAGCTCCTTTAGAAACAACAGAAGCAGAAGTGACTCGGCCAGGTTCTAAACATTGTCCCTGGAAGTTGTCTTCCCATGGGAATATGTCTGACAGGAACATAGGGAGCTGTCTTATACCTTGTTAAGTCCATATAACTCAGCAGCACACCCTCCAAAACTTCTCCATTGAAAATAGGGACATCCCATTCCATAATAGTTCTACTGTTTATACCCCACACATCTTACTCGGTTGCCCCAGCACTCTGGGCAGCTTCCAACATATCTAAAAACATAATAAAACATTAAACATTTTTAAAAAAAAATCCCTATACAGGATTGCCTCCAGATGGCTCGGGCGTCAGGTACAGTAACTCCATAACCTCTAGCATTTCTCCAATGAAAATAGGGACATCCTAAGGAGAAGTGGGGCATTCCTGGATCAAATCAGAATCTGGGATGGCTTCTCTAAATCAGGGATATCCCTGGAAAATAGGGACACTTGGAAGGTTTGCCGCAGCTCTCCAGGTTTCAGGCAGATAATCCTTCCCAGGCCTGATTGGAGATGTCAGGGGCTGAACCTGGGACCTCTGGCATGCAAAGCAAGTGATTTACCACTCAGCAATGTTCCTTCCCCAAATTTGGGATCCTGATCCAGAGCTCTATATAAGGGGCTCGCAAGAAGTTCCTGGCCTGACAGTAGTTGCTGCTGCAGCCTCCCACATTTTGCATTCATGTGGAGCAGGAATAAAAATCTGCCACAGCACTAACTTAATTGGATTTTAATGGGGTATTTACCACTGTCAATTGCACATGTGCCTTGATAAATGCCATGCTAAAACCAATGCACGGTGAAAATGCAGGCTATGATTTCCATAACACAGATTATTAGCCCCCTTCCTATAACACACAAAAACATATTTACTGTTATTAACCTCGTATGTATTCTGCCTGCCTCTTTGCTGCTATTTATAATGTTTATCACGTTTCAGATTCTCCGTATGCTTCATAATCATCAGTGCATTTATCCACCCCATGGATAATCACAGAATTGCAGAACCGTGGGGGCTTTTTAGGCAATCTGGTCAACTCTGTGCTTGGCACATGGAACCCAGAGCCAAAGCATCTCCCCACAGTCGGCTATCCAGGTTTTCAGTGGAGCACGGGAAAGTCCCTGTTTGCACTGCCGAATTGAACTTGCCATCAAAAGAATTCTCCTTATTGTCTATTGAAAGCTAAGTTTGAACCCATTAGATTTAGTCCTGCCTTCTGGGGCAGCAGTGAATAACTGGAAAGCAGTTCATCATTGCTATTCTCATTTAGAAGTACCAGCCAGCCAGAATTTTGCAGATGCAACTGATAGAATTCAGTATTTGGTCCGGAAAACCACCAGACTCCAGATTTTGCCAGACTGTACCACATCTATTCAAGGTCCAGTCTCAAACAAGGAGGATGGGTATTATGGTCTATTGAATTCCTTTTAAAGGGATCTGTCATGGAACAGGGCAGTTTCCCCCACTGGTCTTCAGCAGTGTAGTCCCACTTGGTATGAATTTACCTGCTTTGCTCTTTCCAAAACAATACACAAACTGAGACACAGCTATCTTCAAAATTTGTACTTCTCTGAATTTTGCAATGCAGTTCTCCAGCCAAGTGAAGTATACAAAAATGCATAAAGTATAGCAGCGCAAAGTGTGCATAACAATACTTACATTAGTAAAATAGTTTACTTGGGGAAATTGCTTTGCAAAAATATGTACAGTAAACAAAATTGCATGCAAATGTGCAAATTGAGAGAAATTTGTAATAAAATACTGGTGAATTTTCACATAGATATTTTTAAAAAATTATGATGATTGCATACTGATGTGGAAAGGCTGTGAACTGAACTTAAAATTGGGCAAATGAACAACTGAAAGAAACCAAAATTGACAGATTCGCCTACCGCATAAAGAATTATGGCCAAACCTCACTATACACTCTGCAGATTCAGATATCCAAACAGCTGGAGTTTGCCCACTTCCTTACTTCCTCACTTGTTTGTGCTTTGCTGGTGGCAGCCATTTTCAGGCATAAACCATGCAGGTATGCAGGGAGAGAAATCAGAGAAATCAGGAAGCAGGCGAGAAAAGACAAATCTGATTTTCCTTTGTCTCTCTTTTGCTGGTGGCTGCAGCCACTTCAGGAAAAAAAACATTGGGGGGGTGGAGATTGGGCAGATCACAGATTAGAAATGTTCCCATAGGAATCAATGGGAATCGTGGACTTGTTATGTGAACGCTTGCCTAATGAATGATTTCCAGGGAATTCATTGTATTTCGTAAGTGGGAGCTGCATGCATTTACTTAGGCTTCCTTCTCCAAACAGGTCCAGCTCTCAGGCCAGCACTCAATGGGGACAAATTGATGCAAATCTTTCTTTTTTTATTACAGAACTTTATTGAAGCAAAGCAAAGCAGTTCATGCAGCTTTCCATCTTCCCCAGAGTGTGTCTGAACAAATGCACATACATGTGTGTGTGTGCGTGCGCACGCGCACACACACAAATTGTGGTAGGAGTCAGGATTAGAATAATAACAATGAAAGTTAATGGCTACTGTCTTCACCTCAATTATACAGAGTTCAAGGGAAGGAACATTACAGCAGCACAACAGATCTGGGTTGAACACATTTATAATGGCCTGATTCAATAAGTCGCCAGTCAATTCGTGTGTTTTTTCATGGCTGAATAAATCTGTACCACTAAATATTGCTAATGTGGAACTTGATCAGCTCACAAAGTTTGTGGGGATGAATGGGGCTCTCATCAGTGAAAGCTGATTCATATCACAGTGCTTTTGTTAGTTTCTAAGGTTCTACAAGACCCTGTTGTTGTTTTTATACATTGCATGTAATCAATAAATTAAAGGTATGATATCCAGACTATTCAAAAGTTACAGAAACACTTCTGTCACTCAATCATCAATCTGTTTCAAGATTCATGAGCAGAACTTGAGCAAACTCTGTTGTTGAGTTCAATACCATTTTGGCAGTGGTTCAATTCAGTGATTTTAGACTCTGGACATAATGAGCTTAAAGGTAAAGGTAAAGGTACCCCTGCCCGTATGGGCCAGTCTTGACAGACTCTAGGGTTGTGCGCTCATCTCACTCTAGAGGCTGGGAGCCAGCGCTGTCCGCAGACACTTCCGGGTCACGTGGCCAGCGTGACAAAGCTGCTCTGGAGAACCGGCACCAGAGCAGCACACGGAACGCTGTTTACCTTCCCGCTATAAAGCAGTCCCTATTTATCTACTTGCACCTGGGGGTGCTTTCGAACTGCGAGGTTGGCAGGCGCTGGGACCGAGCAACGGGAGCACACCCTGTTGCGGGGATTCGAACCGCCGACCATGCAATCAGCAAGTCCTAGGCACTGAGGTTTTACCCACAGCGCCACCCGCGTCCCTATAATGATCTTATGGGACTTTAAATGGCAATATGTACTACTGCACAAACTTTATGATGTGTTAAGACAGCCCTGCTTGCACTGAGGGGCCCATCAGCCCATTCCACTGAGTGGGGTGATGGACTTTGTGTCATTACAATGACAAAAGGTGACCTTCTTTTGCGTAATGCTGTGCACAGACGGCCCATGCAAGGAGCTTTGCAAGCCCCAATGATCAGCTGATCATCAGAACTTCCATTCACAGAAGGATGCAAGTCCTGGCGATCAGCTAATCAGGCCTTTCTAGCCCAGCATTCTGTTCTTGCCATGGCCAACCAGATGCCAGCGTGAAGCCCACAAGAGCACTCTCCTGCTTGCAATTCATGGCAACTGGTATTCAGAAAAATATTGCTTCTGACAATGGACTTAATGTAGTCATCATAACTTTCAACCATTGGTAACTTTAACCTCCATGAATTTGCGCAGTGCTCTTTTAAACCTGTCCAAGTCGGTGGCCACAGTTTTCCATAGTTTTAACTATGTGATATATAAAGAAGTCCCTCCTTTTTTGTAGGTTGTGAATCTCCCACCATTCAACTTCATTGGCTGACCAGTACAATAAGGCCTGCATCAACCATAAATTTGCTTTTTGGTGCTGGCAGCAGGGCCGCCTTTACCCGGGGGTGCAAGGGATGCGGGTCACCCGGGCGCCAAATTCTGGGGGGCGCCAAATGTATACCTACTGCAGGCTTCCTCAACCTCGGCCCTCCAGATGTTTGGAGACTACAATTCCCATCATCCTTGACCACTGGCCCTGCTACCATGGGAGCTGTAGGCCAAAAACATATGGAGGGCTGAAGTTGAGGAAGCCTGACCTACTGTATACCGGTCCCTCTCGATTGACGGCAGTAAAAAGCAATGGAGCGAAAGTCTCCGCCCCCTCTTCCGTCGCTCTGTTACTCCGTAGCATCAAATATTCCCGACGAGTCAGGAAACAAAAGCAGTTTTTTCTGCTGCGTCGCTGTTACAGGTTTGCGATTTCCCCCCTAAAAAAACAACTGTGGCTTCCCCTCTCCCCCAAAATTTTGGGGTACTGGGCAGATCTTTGCACTCTGGAGGCACATTATGCTAAAGACACCTGGCAGCTTTTCTTAGGGGGAATGACATACAGTCATCAACCTGAAACTGTTCTTTTCCTGAGGTACCATTTTAGCTAATAGGGCCTGCCGTTGCCGCCGGGCGATTTCTGTTCTCATCCTGAAGCAAAGTTCTTTACCCAAGGTACAATTTCTAGGTTAGCGGAGTCTGTAACCAGAAACATCTGCAACCTGAAGTGTCTGTAACCTGAGGAACCACTGTACTTTGCTAAGCTATAAATCAGCCAGTAATAAACGCATCCAGTGCTAAAGCAGACTATCGTATCAACTATTGCCAGAAGCAGACGCCTAACGACCGCCCACTCTTCGCGGCACAAGGACAGAAAGGGGGGGAGCGGTGGCAGAGAGATTTATTCCACAGCTTTATTCATCCAGCGATCGATAACAATCCCGTGATCGACCGGGGATCTACCTGTTGTTCGCAGTCGACCGGTTGGACATCGCTGCTCTACACCATATAAGATTTTATACACCCAAATTTAATTGGCCCGATGGGTCAGAAATTGTGAAGGCCTGACAGAGACAAGCAGCAGACAGAATACTCCAAGGCCTTGTTTACTTGTTCCACTTTTATTTTTATTAAGCGTTTGGGTTTGTTTGTTTGTTTATTTATTATTATTTTACCTCCTATTGCGGAATAGGAGGGAATGGTACTTCTCTTGCTTGAAACAACCCTTTATAAGCACTTGCTGAGGATAGAAACAATCAGATCTGTTGTTTTGATCTCCCAGAATTCAATCTTTTCTGGATTAAGATAAAACAATGACAAATATCTTGAAAGGGGACAGAAGTTTTACTGTTGTTATTTGACGGATGTAAAAGGCAGAAAACAACAACAACAACACCACCCAGGATGGGTTGCAAAATGACTCTGTTATTTGGCAGTGAGATTTTTTGGGGTTTGTTTTTTCCCTCCCTGCCCCTCTCCACATCCAACCTGTGTATCAACATCCAGCTCCATAATTTTGCACATCTTTATTCGGAATAAAATATGTTCTGTTGTACCGCTGATGTCGGCCACTTGACAAAATCTGACAGTCAGCGTGGTGGCTTGTCTTGAGGCGTTTGAAACTGTCACTAAGTAGGAATGCCTGCCAGAGGCACATTTTAACTGGTTGGCAGTGAGAGAAGTCAGGTGCCGGATCTATAAACATCTTTGGCAAAGAGAGAGAGAGGGAAAGAGAGAATAAATATTCTCCGTAACAGGGAAGCAAAAATCAAATTATGGGATTCACTGCCGCAAGCTACTGGTTTAAGGCTGTTTCTGCATTAAACTGCATGGAGATTTATATTTAAATATTTTTTTATTTTTTAAAAAAATACTTACTGCTTGAGTGTAAGAAAACCTCTAAAAGGTTAACAACAATATAAAATAGAACATTACAATGTTCAACTAAAAAAGTTCAAAATGGCGTATAAAAACATTCAAAAGTGTTCTGGATTACTAATCAAGATTAAAGACTGTCTTGCTTCAATTTTCACCTTTGCTACCTCAGGTTAGAATTACCAATCCTAGGCAGGCCTACTCAGAAATAAGTCCCAGTGGATTCCCTGGAGTTGTTATCAAATCAATATATGGGGGTTGTTTCTTAGTACGGCAGACCAATACAGCTACTGTACTGGAAAGCAAGTGAAAGCAATTCCTTTCTGACTTTAGTGTGCTGAGCAATCTATTTACCAACGCAGACTTTGAGCATACAGGAAGACAGCATGGAACAGGCAATATTAATCCCCAAGAGACATCACTGTAGGTATCTAGCATTTTAGAAGGGACTTCTGGGAGCCAGGAACCAGTTAGCCATCTCTCCTACTCAATTACATGCCCAAAATTTAGACTTCTCTTCTGCTCAAGATTCAAAAATGCAAAGGCTGGACTTCAAAAAAACAAAAACAAAAAACAAACCTCAGATAAGTAGATTGTGGTGCAAAATCCATCACATGCCATACCACAAAGGCTTCTTTTATTTTATTTTTTCAGATAAATTATTTCATATTTTTAATTCAATATAAAGAAAAAATACAGTACAATCCGTATGAACAGATACTATAGAAACACATTTTCTTATTACCACCACCACCGTTTGTTAAACCAGATATTGGCTCTACCTCTCAGTTTTTTGATAACTCTTGAAAACAATGTACTACATTTCCAAATTTAAAATGTGTCCTAGCAATGGGTGTGGAAACAAGATGATTACCGTATTGCCTCGCCATTAAAAAGGAGGGGAGAAGGGATTTGCCCATAGTATAGATTTGTGGGACAACAAATGATAACACAGACTTTATTTTAGGACTGTGGATGTTTCGAGAGGTTATCTGTCAAAGCAACATGTTTCATGGGCACATAAGCTAGTTCACTTGAAATTAGAACCGAATCTATCCGTTCATAACAATTTGGCCAGCGTTGCAGCAGAAGAGGCTTTTATATGCCTGACGCTGCACAGAGCACCATTAAAAAGGGAAATTGATCCTATTGTTTTGGGTGCAATTAAGATTCCATTGTTATAAAGGATTTAACGGATGAAGATTGTGACAGGCTTTTGTCAGCAGCTAACGCTAAAAATTAGTGATGAATCTGAACCAAACTGCTTTAGACTATGAGAACATTTTGGTCCAGGGGTGACTCAATTACATCGCTCAGAGCCATCTCCTTCTATGCGCAAACACACAATACACATAGAAGAGCTGTCCAGTGTTCTGCTACATCCTCTACAAGGACATGACATGTCCCTGGAGTACCGCTGTGCCCTCTCCAATTACCTTTTTGTTCTCTTACCTCGGGGGCTCAAACTGCATGTGGAGCGGAGCGCTTCAATTCTTTCCTCTGCAGTTTTGTTTTGTTTTGTTTTGTTTCTTTCTTTCTTTCTTGCTTGCTTGCTTGCTTGCTTGCTTTTGCTTTAAATATTGTTTAATTTTTTTAAAAAAACAACCTCATGGCGATGTCAATCGGACTTCACATTCTTGAGATATATCTTGGGTGCCGTCCATCCCTCAGGAGCACTCCTCAGTCCGTCTTTCTTCCAGACGCGTTCCAGATCTCATTCAAACCCTTTTTGTTTCCTCCGGCACCAACCTTCCCTGACCTTCTTCTGCAAAAACTTTGTCTGCTTCATCAGCTTCCTGTACTTGTGTCTGTTCATCTTCCTTCCCCGGATCTTCAAAACGTTCTTGCATTCCATTTTGCCCCTGTTCAGCTCGCCTCCCCCCTCTTCGCTGTCATCCTCAGCCTCTGCACCCTGGGAAGAGACATAAACATTGACGGTGCCTCCACCTTTAGGGAGGACATAATGGACCATCAGCCAGCTTTCAAGGGGGGAGATTGACATCTTCCTTGGCACCAGGATTTCTTCCAGCTCAGGGTCCAATGCGTACCACTGCTGGGGTTGGGCTCCATTTCTGTTTGAAGGAAGTGTGCTGTAATTTGCAGAAGCGAGTCTAGGAACCAGAAGCGAGATGGCTGATCTCGACTGAAAGCGTTCTGCAAATCGAGAGGCCCTCGCTATCTGAGACGTCAGTCGTGGTAGCAGCATACTGGAGGACCACTCATCCACAAGGGCTTACCATCCCATTCACGACGATGGGGGTTGTTTTGTTTTCCACCTGGGGAAAGAAGGGCACTCAGAGAGGCTGCTTAACCCTGCCGCTTCCTCAGCTCAATATCACTTATGCGCCGTCAGGATGTGGTGCAGCTAGGGCAGAAGCTTGGACATGAAGACCAGTGCTCAACAGCCCAGAGCTCCCCCCCACACACACAAATCACCACCTAGAGCAGGCATAGGCAAACTCCAGCCCTCCAGATGTTTGGGACTACAATTCCCATCATCCCTGACCACTGGTCCTGTTAGCTAGGGACGATGGGAATTGTAGTCCCAAGCATCTGGAGGGCTGGAGTTTGCCTGTGCCTGACCTAGAGAGTGGCAGATGATGGAAGCAGCAGCAATCTTGTAGTGGCATGTGCATATTGGTGCCCAGGGCATGTTGTGGTGCCAGTAGCAGCTGCAAATGGCTCCTCGGAGGCCAGATTTGCTGCCCTGCCCCATGTTGCCTCCACAGCAGCCTCTCAGTGAATAGGAGGCACCGCCGGCTACCTCCCACCCTAGGAGGAAATGGTGGGGGCTGCCCTCTGAGGTCTTCTAGGCTCTGCCCAGCATGGCTGAGAGTGTTTGTTTTATAAATACATTAGGAACACACAAGAGCCAGTGTGGTGTGGTTAAGAGCAGCAGACTTGTAATCTGGTTAACCAGGTTCGCTTCCCCGCTCCTCCACATGCAGCTGCTGGGTGACCTTGGGCTAGTCACACTTTTCTGAAGTCTCTCAGCCTCACTCACCTCACAGAGTGTTTGTTGTGGGGGAGGAAGGGAAAGGAGAATGTTAGCCACTTTGAGATGAGGCATCTAATCAAGATCTGCATTTTAAAATGAGCTTAAAAAATATATTTGCCAGGCAGAGACCAGCTGAATACTCTGGCAGCTGTTTATCTTCCTGTTCAAAGGCCCCACTGTATTTCAGGGTTGTAAAAAGTATTTCAGGGTTGTAAAAGGAAATTAGAGGCTGGGAGCAAAAGGTCACACTGACCATACAAATTACAGAATACAATCAAGCTGCAAAAACACAATTAAGAGCTGGTAAATAGTGAAATTTATTGTTTAACAGAAGACTCGAGCCATATTTTCATAAGGTTAAAGGGTAAATTGAAGAAGTTGCTTTTAGAAACAGCAGCTGGATAGGGAAACAGGCTTCTCTCCGAAGCTGCTCTGAAGCTTCAGAGAATTTAGAGAACTTAGCTTTCACTAAGTTCCTTTTAATTTGAAAAGGCCTTTCCTTCTAAAAATCTATCTATGTTATGTATGAAATATATTGGCTTAAATGTAATTATGCAAAGGATTTAGAAAGTAAGAAATGTTAGATTCTTATTATGGTGTGTGAGAAGGTGAACTCAAGATCTCTTTAAGATAAAAAAAATTAAAAACCATGCACCATCTGCTTTAGCCATCTGGTTTGCAGTGAATAGGGCAACAGGGGCCAAAGGTTATCTGGTAATTGAGGTGCCTGGTCGAGGTAAATGTAAGATATATGGCTACTTGTCTGCCATTTATGGATAGAAGGAAATATAGGTAATAGGAAATGGGTGTATCTTTTATGATTGGTTCTAGCAAACAACCAATAGGAATTTCAACCAGGCTGATTGGACAGAGGCAGCCAAAGGAGGAGCAAGGGGGCTGGGCTGAGGAATATAAGTGCTGGCCATCAGGGCTGGAGTAGGCAGAGCTTTGGTATCCATATACCACTGTGTCTCTCATTTATTTGTCTGACAAATAAATTATTATTTTAATTTCTCTATTACTGCGTTGAATATTTCATTCCAGCTAAGCGTTAACCACAAGCAGGGTGCTACAGAGACTCCTTAGGGTAGTGATAAAGCAGAATATCAAATCCAAACTCTTCTTCTTCAAGGAAGCTGCCTTATACGGAGATTGCATTCAGACGGGATTACTGTGTTAGTTTCCTTGGTTATTGTGCTAATGCTTCTATGCCAATGTTTAACATTCCTTTTACACGGCATCACCCGTTCCGCTATGGAATCCTGGCGCTTTTTTATCAATATGCTGCTATGTCATGCTAAATTTCACTGCCATAGTTTCTCTGGCTCTAAATCAGACATAAGGAATATACAGTTTGCAATCCTAATTGGACTGAAGCAGTGGGGTGCTAAGTCCCCATTGAAGTCAAGTGGAACTTCTGAGTAGACATGATTTAGATTGCTCTGCACCATGATCTGGTGTGACATCTGGATCAATAAGCTCGGCGTGTAACTTGTTGGCAAACGAGGTTAAGAAACTATGTTTTTATTATTATTATTATTATTATTACTCCTACTACTACAAAAACCTATTACCTGTCTCTTATACAAAGGTCCCAGGGAGAGTCACAACATTAAAACACAACCTTAATATTAAAATACAATATTACACAATATTAAAAACACTTGAAAATAACTTAAAATTACAAAAAAAGAGGTGAATCCTTCAAATATACTTCTCAAGTGTCAAAAGCCAGGGTAAATAGGCTCGAAGCGAGTTTGCAACCATTTGTTGGGTGAGATGACCAGAGCATTTTTGCACCAGAATAGCAGTGGACTTATGAAACTGGGTGCTGCAAGACTCAAAACAAAAGCAGGCAAGCGGCTCAGAGTCATAGCTTGCCTGTTCTCCTTTGGGAAGCTCAAACCACAGTATGGCTTTGAGCAAATGATGGCTGATGCAAAAATATGGCTTGGCATGATGTCTAAACTGAGCCTGCAGGTATTGGTGAAATGGTAGAGGCTGCTGGAAATCCAAAGGGTGACAAAACACGGAACAGCCTGGGCTTGAAAACTGCGCGCCAATTTGGTAGTAGCAACTCTATTTGAATCTGTCTCTCAGCAGCGTCTGCCAGCCTCCAGTTAGGCTGTGTCACACTTTGCTTTGCACTTGATGTGTTTTAATGCAAGGGGAAAGCTGTGGGCCTCTCTTCTCAAGCTTGCCATTGTAGCATATTTGACAATTATGGGTGAATGTTAGCCATCTGTAGGATATGATGCTGTTGTAATAGCTTCTTGTCAGTGGGCTCAGGCATTGTACAACCATGCAAATTGGAACCTCCAAATGCCTGGACTTCCAGGACCCGTGAACTTTATTCTCCAATGATCAGGCAGTTATCCTGGCATTCCTAGATTGCTGAGAGGGAAAGACAGCGAACACACTTTTTCTATGTATATCAAAATGGTATTTACTTGATGCTTAATGTCTAGCCAAACTCTGTACTAAAAACCAGTGTTGATGATCGGAACACCATAGATGTTTCCAACAACATTTGGTACAACCAGGATTCGGGCCTGTAAAACGCTAGCCTTATTTTTATTTTATTTTTTTGCAGATTGGGTTTGGCTCCAAGTTTGGAGAGCCTGTTTCTCCTAGTCATGTCACTGCAATGTAAATCAAGCGCTTTTTATTAAATTGGGGTAGAAGGAGCCTGTAACTCTACAAGGCATTTTAAAAGTGCAATTTACAACTGAAATGAGGCCCAGTAACAAATTAATTCAAATAAACACTAATGTAAGGGTGGAGAAGCTCAGGTTCTGGGGTAGAATGTGGACCTCCAGTCATCTCAGCCTGGTCCTTGCAACTCTCCTCAGCTCACACACCATCTCTCCAGGCCACCTCCTTCCCTGGCCTGGCTTTGCACATTCCTCATGTGATTTTGCCTTGTTGGACTGTGTTGTTGAACTGTAATAATGCCTTTTGCTTGGCAGCAAAAGTTTGAGGGTGTGCAGAAACTAGTCGACTGTACAAAGGTAAAAATTACACGCATTGCCCTGTGTACTTTTGCCTCTGACCACATACACCACTGGCATGTGGCCCCTGGAAAGTTACCCAGAATGGAATGTGGCCCTTGGGTTTCAAAATGTTCCCCACCTCTGGATTGTTTCTTTGCCTACTCCTAACTGAGTTTGTTAAGAACAGTTGTGGGCCTTTACAGGGTGCCATTCCCTGAGCTTCAGATAAATCATCTGGGTTTGGGGGACAAAGTGGGCAAGTGCAATCCAGCAAATGTGTGTGCAAATAATAAAAGAATGAGATGGTGTTATATTTGCTCATACAGTGGTACCTTGGGTTACATACGCTTCAGGTTACAGACCCAGAAATAGTACCTCGGGTTAAGAACTTTGCTTCAGGATGAGAACAGAAATCGTGCTCCAGCGGCGCGGCGGCAGCAGGAGGCCACATTAGCTAAAGTGGTGCTTCAGATTAAGAACAGTTTCAGGTTAAGAACGGACCTCCGGAACGAATTAAGTACTTAACCTGAAGTACCACTGTATAGTAATAAGAGACCGGACATCCTGTGAAATGGTATGGCATGTTAGCGTCCCTTTGTTCCATTCAAGTTCTATGATTCCTTGGGTCGATGCACACAGCCCATTTGCCATATGCAATTATGGCAATGGTCAGCTGCACACTGGCTGCACGCCAGTCTTATTGAATTTAAGCCTACCTTGCAGAGACTATACTTTGGCAACTGTCTAGCCACACAACCATCTACCATTGTAGCATCCCTTGTCAGAGATGTCCTTTTAACCAGGGGGTCCCTTATAGCAGATTTCAGTACAGAAATAGCACATTTACTACTGACAATGAAAGAAATAACCACACAACCATAAATAGGCATCGTTATTTAGTTATGCTGTCCATCTAGTGTGAAGGTCCCTTCTACCTGGTAGGGTTTCCAAACATGGCTGGGCCTCTCAGCATCATGGAGGTGACTATCTATCTATCTATCTAGTCAGTACATTAAGGGTACCAGTTCTTTTTCAATGAATCTGGGGACACTTTTCAACTTCAATGGATTTTGTATGGGGACTGATTTGCAAATCCGGGGACTGTCCCTGGGAAACGGGGACATCTGGTAATCTTACAGTACACACACACACACACACACACACATATATATATATATCATATATATATATATATATGATATATGATATATATAT